TATGGTCTTGGTTCTTCCGCCGCTCGAGAACAACGAGGTCCCCCCAAAGCCCCAACCAAGATGCGCTTCTACGGGAACTCTGCCAACGGGGCGTTTGTGGACCTACTGCCCAGTTGGGCGAAGGAAGACAGCACACAGACACCCTCACTTACCACTTGCGGGTCGGTGTACTCGCGCGCGCCGGTCATGGGCAGCTCCGATGTGCCGTCGTCCTTCCAGGAAAGATCGAAAGCGACATCGACGCACGGACAGGGGGAAAAAAACGAAAGAGGATGAGTGAACAAGCATCAGCAACGGTTGGAAGTGATTGGGGCGCGGAGCGGGGACGGAAAGACGACAGCAAAGGCGTTCATCAAGCATGTGCGCACGCTCGCCGGGGCATACTCTCCCCCACAAGAGGTGCAGCGAGTGGACATGGACAGGCCTCGCCTCACACGACATGTGTTGCCCTGCCGAAGTGCGAACACTACCTCCTGGATCAACTCATGTGCAAAGACACGTCGTCTACGACACAAGAGAAGAAAAGGAAACGATTTTCAAGCTGGACGACATGATGCAAACAGCACACGGGTGTAGTGCTCTGTAAGGGGTGTGGTGTCTTGTGTGACCCCCTTGATAAACCGCACTCAAAGGACTTGACCCCGCAGGGGGTGTGGTAGTGGTAGTAAGGGTGTGTGATAAAGAAAGGGTTTGATAATGTCACCAGCAAGATTGAGTGCGCCCACATGACCCAACCTGCGGGGGGGGGGTGATCAAGAGGTGGTCTGGTACAATCATGGGGGTGTGGTAACGTTACACGTATCTCGTGTGGGCCTCAGCAACACGGGCGGTGGCAGGCACAGCGGGTGCTGCGGGAGTGTCAGGAGGCACAGAAAAAAATGACGTATTTGGGCATGGCGCCACCGCTGGAGTCTGGCTCACTGCAGTCGGAGCCAAGACGCTTTCAGCAGTGTTGTGTTCTTCGATCGTCTCCGCTGTGTTGGTCCGTCACAGCAGTAGCTCTAGCACAGGGTTGCGTGCGCGTTGTGCACGATCACGGCCTACCACACCGGTGAGATGGGGGCTCCGTGGATACATATGTGCGGCTCAACATAGGCAGTGTGGCATGTTCTGTGACCGTGTGGTAAATCGGTGCTTGTTCCCGGGTGTAAAAGCAATATCACACGGGTGGTTCCTGTGCGTCGTAGGGGTAGGGTATCTTCGTGGGTGTAACACCTTCTGATGCCACCTAAGGTAAAGGCCCGGCTGGCCTCATTGGCGTATGCATTCCACAACAAACACAGGCCGGCCACCGTTTAGAATACTGGACGACTGCTGTCAAGACTCACCGCGAGTACCGTCGCCGTGCCGAGGTCGACCACAGTGGCGAGGAGGTAGGATTTCGCGTTGTTCCTGGCCTGCTTCCGCTCCAACATGACGTTGGGCGGGTTCACGTCGTTGTGTCCCACACCAATCGAATTCAGGCCTAACATCGCATTAAATAGCTGATACATTTATTCACGAGAGAGGCGAGAGATGAAAAAAAAACGAGCAACGTCAGTAGACAACGGGGGCGCGGGGGTGTCCGAACTGAGGATCGGGGTTGTCTCCACCCCCACTAATAATGGTGGTGCGTGGATCCTACCCGATTGCCTGGTCACGTTGAAAATTGAGTTCCGAAAGGGGGAAAAAATCTAAGACACGTTTCGTGCGGGGGTTCTACCCGATTGTCTGGGGCAGGTTTCATTCAAATCATGCAGACTTGCGAAGGGAAACATATCTGGACGTATGTCGGTCTTCGTCTTATCTGTTGAGGGTCGGGGTTGACGAGCAAAACCCTGCCACAGACACTGAGCAAAACTCGCGACTGGGAACAACTACGGAAAACCTGGACAAGCCACGGGGAGCATGCTCATGTGTGCAGCCTGAGTTGTAGCAGGGGACAGACTTTGATCAAGAAGCCGAAGGAAACAGTGGCCGAGTACATTTGCGGTGTACAGATAGCCATGTGTTCGTCGGCAAGACAAGTAGGTCAATGTGTTCTCGTCTGGCGGGATACGAGATGAGCGAAGTGAGAACAGTCTCGCAAAAACCGGATGCAATGACTACGCGTGGTAGATCGAGGTATGGGTGCCACTTGAACTACATTTACACGAACGGTTCACGGCGAGCTGTAGCTCTCTTGATGGTAGTTCCAGTCGAGTCTCACGCCTACTAACACTAGGAGAGAAACTGCTCAAAACGTTTCGGGTGGAAAAAAGTTTGTCGCAATCGCATGAAGCAAATACCCGTTCGAGAAAATGTTCCAATCGAAGGAATATGTTGGAAGTCTTCGCAGAGTGGGTGTTGAGGAAAACTTGTTGGAAAGCAGACTTGTTTTTTGAGTCTGCTTAGGCCTATACACCGAAGCATCAGCGATGCCAGCTGGCGATAATCACAAATACACCCGTAGGCATGCATACGAGTACAGAACATCCCCTTCCAGATCTCCGCTGGGTCCACGACCAAAATGCCGGGGAGAAAAGGTCAGTAATGTTCAGCTTCGAAGCGTCACGGACGGGTCTACCCAAAACAACGAGGAGCAAGGCAAGGCCTTTCGCTACTGTGTGCAAACAGTTTCCAGACCTTGTTGTGCCGACGCATAGTTTCATCACCGAATCTGCTTGAACGCCACCGGGTTTCGTGTGACAGCTCTGCATCCTCAGGGCAGGTACACGGAAGAGCGAGTTCGAGCGCTGTGTGTCTCACCTGACCCATGATGTCAGTCTTGTCGGCCATGGAGACCTCCTGGAGGTCTAGCGCCGCCAAAGCCTTAGGGTCCTTCAGCACCACCTTGGAGAGCATGATCCTGATCGTTGAGAGGTAAAGGCAGGCGGAGCATGATGTCAGACATTTTGGGCGCCGTTGTTCGGCGTGAGACAACACGACCTACAGTAGTACAACATGGCATTTTTTTACCTGAGCGAGGGGGGAGTCCGAAGAAAAGGGTTGAGAGACTGCAGAGCTATGCGCATCACCGGTACAACTCACGGTCCGCAGTACTCCAAAATGATCGCGTTGTTCGGGCCGAACAAAGGGCAGATCGCGATCAGCTTCGCGACGCCCTGGATGGAAGCCGCAGTGGTGCGAACGAAGGCTCCGACCTCGTTGCGATACATGTCCTGGCACTTTTGCTTCACGGTCGAGCTCGGGTCGGTCCTGGCCATCCTCGTAACTTTCACGCACATTCCCTGTAACGGTCACCGCACCGCACAGCGTTCCCCAAGGTGGGCGAGAGGCTGAGAAAACCGTTGCAAATGGGCATCTGCGTCTGCGTGTTGCGTTCGCCTGAGTGGCGGTAAAATAATGGCAGTCCGGACTCGAGAAGGTTTTGATCCGGCACAAGAGTGAGATGGTCGTGTTCAAGGAGGAAAGTCGAAACAGATACTTGCCCGCTTTAGTTTATCGGCAGCTACACGTTCGTAGTGATGCCAGCACAATGCCACGAAATGAGCGCAAGTTCTTGTGGAGTGTGTGAGAGCATGGCACAAGCGAAACATACGGGTTTGCCGCAAACTAGGCAAAATGCAATGATTCAAGGAGCAAGGGTGTACTAAAAATGTTGTTGTCTCGATGTTTTGGAGAGTCTTGTGGTGGGTCGACCGTAGCGTGTGGTAACGGTATACTCATTCCTATGAGAGTTCTTTAAACTCCAATTTGGGGATTTGGGTCCATCTTGGTGTATTCGGCCCCTAACCCGACTGCAGGCCTCCATTTGATCAACATTATTAGCTCGGGAATTCCGCAAAATCGGGCAAAATCGGGCATGAACTGGGACCCCGTGAGGGGGCAGCATGGGGGAGGCTAAACTATCCTTCGGATCAAAGACAGAAACGGTGGCAATAGAAGAAAACTGCACGCGTCTACCAAGGCTATTACCTTGTACTCGAGTTCGTTTAGGAGTGCTTTCACCATTATCTTCCTTGTTGTCGCTACCACCATTCTGATCCTCATTTGACGACAATCTCTTGCCAGCTCTTCCCTAGCCCTGCGTTTTTTGTTTTGGGGAAGGTCATCTGGCTCAAACCCTTTGCTCTCTTCCACTCCTCCATGTTTTCCTCCTCCACCGTCGTTTTCGTCCTCCTTTCTTCCCTTTCCCTTTCCTTCGTCTCCGTCACTCCCAAAATAATTCCCCTCAATACTATCGTTGTCGCAGAGATCCCAACCGATTGGCCCTGGTGGAAGTTGGTCGATCAGTAGCCCATGACGTTTGAACACATCGCGAGTTCGCATCGACAGAAAGCGAGCTAGCTCGAAGGTAAACTGTCTCCGAATGTATGTGTATGTGTGTGTTTTCGTCCTATTTATTATGGCGACAGTCCCGCCACTGAAGCGAAAAATCCAGGGATGTTCACGGTGTGGAACCGCACCGCGGTGTGGTTTTTGTATCTTGACATGGTCACGGCGCGGTGCGGTGCGTTTTTTTTCATCTCGATATTTGACAGTGCGGTGCGGTGCGGTTTTATCATATCACGGTGCGGTGCGGTGCGGTGCGGTGCGGTTTTGACCATCTCCAAATTCGACGGTGCGGTGCGGCGCGGTTTTTTTCATCTCGAAATTTGACGGTGCAGTGCGGTGCGGTTCACCGTCGCACGTTTTTTTTTACGGTGCGGTTTTTTCTACCCGTGACAAAAACCGCGCGAACCGCGGCCTTGGCGGCGGTGCACCGTCGAAGAACACCGCGGAGAACACTACGGTTGTCCGTGACAAAATGACCGGGTCTCCATGATTTGTTTTTCGTGGAGTACGTTAGGTTTCGTCCATTGAAACGAGGCCGACACGACAAATCCCGCGGCTTGCGGTCAGAAAACCCTAAAACCCTAGACAAAGGAGAAGCTCCTGATCATTTTTTTCGTTTTCCCAGTCACCATACGTTCCTACAACACGAGCTACATTCCTCACTTGCTTCTACTACTGCTATTATACTGCGGCTCGGGCGAAGTGGGCTTTAAACTGCGAAGGAAAGCAAATATTGGTACAATTCCAAAGCTGTTCGACCGTCCGAAAATTGCAAAATTACCTACCACAGCATATCTTACAACCACCGTACAAGGATGACTTTTGACGAGTCCCTAAATCTGGACACCAAAGACAGCAGTAGCACCCCGTAAATACAAACATAAACAGGCACCGGCTGAGGTTGCCGGATTGACAATAAGGGATCGTGATCGGACAGGATCGCGATACACGTAAAATTTTAATGAGCCGCGGAGCGCGAAGCGCGACCGTTCTTTTCCCTACGACCGAGGAGGGAAAAAACAGGCTCTATCTATCATGGGACCAAGTTTCAATGAACGACCGACTGAATTTTCCATCCTTTTCGACCAGCACGAGGACTATAGAGCACCGATTGACGATTTGTTGGCTTGTGGAGAACAAGAAAAATAGGGCGCCCTTCACACCGGTTTGGTCGTGCTCCGACAGCAGATGGCGGTGCTTCACCGGTATCTGTACCCAAAAATCATAGGAGATTTTCACCCCGACCCCCGCGGAGTTGTAGAGAAAATGCAAGCCAAGATCGTAGATCTCCCACCCAACAGACACACGCGGTTGCTTGGTTCACACCAGGAGAAACAGAGGAACGCTCAGCGAAACACGCAACACCGCCCGGAGTGGCAAGACAGCACTGGCGGGGGTAGGGAGCCATACACAGAGCAAGTGGCGGATGTCATTGTCATTGTTGTTGCTTAGGTGTGTGGAGAGTGATCATCAGTAAAACCCAACCTTGCCCAAAGCGGAAAAAATATACGACTGATCCCAGCAAACGCGGTTTTTTGTTTTCGGGCTGTCCCACACTCTCGCGCTCGCAATTTCTGAGCGTCCTACTACTGTAGATCCTGGTCTGTATCAATCACCATACAAGACAAAGCATGGACACAGCTCGTGGCGGATACATTTGTTATTGCTGTTGCTTCGGTGTACGGGGAGGGGTCACCTCCGATATGGAACGCACGTGTGCATATGCATCTGGCACATCGGTATACTGCTGTACCGTCGGTGACAGCGTCGGTGACAGAAGATACCACACTCCCTGCATGGATTATTTTAAGCTCGATTATTCCACGACGAACAGGATGCGTAAACCCAGCGAGACGTGTTCGTAAAGCTCTTGACGAGGCGGTTCCCACACCACCATTTTCGGCACCGCCCCTCTTTGTGGTGTGGAGCAACCGAGCTATGGAAGTTGGTCCAGGGTGTGGTATCTTGTGTCATGCACGTTAAGACTACTGCTGTATGCGCACGAATCCCAACGGCCGTCCGTGCGTTGCACAGAGTAGTAAGAACCTCTTGTAATGTTGTTGTTGTTGTTGTTGATGATGGCTCGGATTCAATATTCAACGGTCGGGTGCACTCGCCACCGCAAAAAACACTATCGCAGATAGACTACTGCAAGATATTGAGTTGGCTACCGCGCGGCTCGTTACCCCGCCCTGTGTCGTAACACACACACTTGCGCCCCAGATACAGCAGCTTCATCTGGCGCCACCTGCGTGCTGCAAGCATACACTAGACTACAAGCTCTGATATTCTCCCTGTGCACGTATGTATCATACGCATATTTTATTTTTCCAAATACAATGCCCAGAATTCTGCCGGGGGTTCTCACCACGCCGGTTAGAAATTCTCAGCCACTTGTATCTATGCATGCAATATGCGTATCTGCTGGCTCACTTTCAGGTCATTGTGCATGTATGCATGTAGTCCTGCAGTACGGACAGGGTTGAGTACGATATTACTTGAAAAAATCCGCGAAATGTGGCGCAGATTGTTGGTTGAATAAAAAGCTACACGGGGTGGTTGATGGCTAGACTTGCACTCTTGCCGGCGGCGGTGGGGGTACCGGTCTGCGATCGGGCACCTACAGATCGAGCACCCTCGACGGTTGCCTCGGCTGCTGTGTGCAGGTCGTCAACTGCTTGCTGCACCCTGCATCTGCCCAAGATCTCAATCAACTCCTCTCGCCCGTCTCGCCGAAACGCACAAAACGAAAACAAGGCTGTTGGCGTCGTCGACATTTTGACCCGAACTGAGGAAAGGCGTGCAGGTGGCACCCTCAAACCTCAAACTTTTGTAAAACCCCACCTCCTTCGTGAGTGTCTCATGCCTTACCTCCCTAGTACCGATATCCTTGAAAACAGCGATGCGGGCGAAGCTCCCGCCGGCCGTGTACTCCATTTTCCCCTGGCTCAGCAGGTCAGGACGGTACCAGCCCTGCCCACCCTCGCCCGCAGGCTTGTCCGAAAACCTGCCACGAATTAGTTCATTGACCTTTGCCACAGACATCCTATCCATCTTGACTACTGAAGATCCCGAGTTGGAGACCGAAGCAGCGAGGCACTCACGACGAAGCTGTTGCTTCTGTGTGTGTGTGGCTGGTCATATACGATGAGAATGGGTTTCAGTCTAGTTCGCGAGGCGTTATTCTTGATTCGGGAAACTGTCAGTATTTATTTTGCGTGCATACTGTAGTCGACTAGACCGACCAATGTAGCCTATGGACAGTATAGCCAAGGACCGGCGTCATCTTAGCAGAGACACATACATGATGACCAAGGGCTGCTGTAAAGCATACGGTGTAATTAAGAGCTACAGATACACCACCAAGGGCATAAGCTGTACCGATCAGAGTGCTGAGTTGATGCTGGTCATCAATGACGTGTTGTTGTTGTTGTTGTTGTTGTTGTTGTTGTTGTTGTTGTCTTCACCTTAAAAACCGTTCCGATCTCTGTCTACCCAGTAGTACCTTCGTATGTTCGTACTGATCCAACACACGACGCGGTCGATTCCCGTGGTCACAGGTTAACTGACCCTAAAAAGGTACCCTCAAAAAAACTGGCCCCGAGGGATCCGCAAGTCAATAGAAATCAGCATCACATGATCAGAGAAAAAAAGAGAAAAAATAAAAAGGAAACGGTACTGTAGAGAGAGGCGGACTTGGTTCAAGCGGTGGAAATAGAGGGCCATTGGTTAGACTAGAGGATGCCTGTCTTTTTTCTTTGCTGTTCCGACGGTCCCGGCGTGACGGCAAAATGGTAGAGGCGGAGGGAAGAACGAGAGAGGCGAGAGCCCGAAAATAATAGAAAAAGGAAAAAAAGAAGGAAAAGAAACAAAAAGGGAAAAGAAGAAAACAAGAAAAAATATGTACGTGATACTTTTGTTTTATATTTCATCATTTTTAGTTGGTCTCGCGTGTCGAGCGGGAGCGGTGGGCTCTGTGGATCGATCTCTCTATCGATCACCTTTGTTCGGTGGCGAGTTGCTTGCTGCGAAGTCGGACTTGTTGGTGGCGTTTGTCTGGGATGATGTCTTATCGCGACTGCTGTGTTTCGTTTGTCCGCGTGCTTTCATTCTCTTTCGATTTTTCGGAAAATGCACTTGGGAGCTTTTCCTGCGTCAGCTTGACCATTGAAATGCTGGAAGTTGCTCAGCGGAGATTGTGACCGCCTGTTCGTGAAGACAAAAGCAATCGCGAAAAGGCTGCCGCAACGAGATGACGCGAATGGCGCGCACCAAAATGGTGTTGTTCGGTGAAACCCTCAGTGTTGAGTGGGTGTTCGGAAGATGGAACAATGTGGAGTATCGAGGGTTTCAGGGAAGGATTGGGACGGAGAGATTGAGAATCTGGGCAAAGAAAAAGAGAGGCCGATGCGAAGACCCCAAAAAGTGGAAAAGAAAGAAAAAGGGAAACGTCGAAAAGTGAAGAAAAAGGAAAAACGAGGGGACAAAAAGAACAGAAAAAGGGGCGGAAGAAGGATGTATGTAGCGAACATGACATGCACGAAGACTACCGAGGGTTGCCCGGCGGGCTGACGAGACGAAGCACCAGAAGCGACGAGCAGCGATACCCTAAGGAGTGAAATGAACGTCGAGACGGGTGTTGGGATTGTGATCTGCATGTCGGGTTTTGAGGGTTTCAGTGAAGATTGAGAGGGAGGGAGGGAGGGAGCGAGGGAGAAGCGAGAGCCCGACAAAGAAGAAACCTAGAAAAGGAGAAAAATCGCAAGAGCAAAGAAAAACGAAAAAATGAAAAAGAAAAAGGAGGGAAGGGAGCAAAATGTACGGGTGATGGCTTGAAGCGGTCGCGACCGGTCTGGTGACCTTGCTGGTGTGGACGACACCTGTTGGGAGGGTCGAGAGTGAACAGGGTGCGACCATATTGTTCGTTGACGCAGAGCGGCTCGACACGGATGATCGCAAACGCACTACTCGCAGCTGCTTTTGTATTTTCTCTGTGTTCCATTTTCTGGGGTTCAGCACGAGGCCGGGTGTACTTTCGTGTGTCGGCGTGCGGCGGGGGCGAGAGGCCGTGAGTTGCGAAACTGGCATGGAATACTCCGGTAAAGGGATGCCGGAGATTGGGTGTCTTATACCGAGGGAGGGAGAGGGAGGGAGGGAGAGAGACGGGGGAGGAGACAGAGAGAAGAGTATGAGGGAGAGGGTGAGAGAGATTGGGAGGGGGTTCGAACGATTCACATTCAATTCGGAAGTTTTGGATAAATTCTAGTCGGTGGGACATCGGTTTTCGTCGATTCTTGGCGGGGAGATTTCGTCGGAGTTAGGGTGCGTTTGCCGGACTTGCCGTATCGTGACGATGGATACGAGCAGGGGGGGTGATGGATTGCGTGGCACGATATGTATCTGTTGAGTACTTGTCTACGGTGAATGTGATTACTTTATAGGGAAATTTCCTGGGTTCTGCCATAAGTTACGGCACAGAGTGGGAGGGAGAGAGAGAGAGGGAGAGAGAGAGGGAGAGAAAGAGTGGGAGAGAGAGAGAGAGAGAGAGAGAGAGAGAGAGAGAGAGAGAGAGAGAGAGAGAGAGAGAGAGAGAAAAGGGAAATTAATGGAAATAATTCCATCTCGGTTCGCCTTCGCCGAGATGCTTCCGACTCCTTCCACAAAACCACCAGCTGAGGTCTACACGATTCTTCTCCGGTCACGCTTGCGTGTTGGGAAACATGCATCCCGGTGGTAGTGACTTGCCTTTCGTGGCGCGCGTTCAACAGGGCGACACAAGACTCCAGTCGATAGCTGCGGTGGACGTTGACGTCGTTGTTGAAACTCACGGCGCTGTTGGACCCGCACCTCTCGCGGGGCCAAAGCCACAGAAAAGGTTGTACCAAGGCGGCCTCCCGTAGAGTCGTGCAACGTGGGAAAATGACACCGATCCCCACACATTCCCACCGAGTTCGGTGCCGCTAAACATGTCCCTCGTGTAATTTAGAAGCAAGACCATTCCAACTATTTGTCGTTGCTGGAAGTGATGCATGTCGTCGAGTGTACTACACAATTAGGGAAAAGAGCAATAATGATTTCGCTTGATGTTGCAAGACAAGGGAATCCGTGTACTGTTTGGGACAAAATACTCGTTGCCAGTTATGTATTTCACGCTCTGGAGCTCCAGACGACGCGATTCCAAGATATTTAAACTTCCATTGACGGTTTACGGCGACCAGATTCACACTCTCGTTCAAAGCAAATGTTCTGAAGCCCCGTTTACAGTAGGGGTTCAGTTTCTGTTGCCGAAATTCTCAGACCTAATATTCCATTATGACACCAGGTTCTGTACAGTCAGTCTTCCGACTGCAACCCCGTTACGTCGTTTCCATGGCAGACTCTTGATCAGCATGAACGGTCACTACCAGGAAGAAAGCTACCTTTTCAACACCCATGGCGAGAACGCACGAACAAGTAAGAACGACACCGTTGCTCAGCAAGACCGTCCCTCTTTCAGCGTATATCCCGCGTGCCGGCCTCTTCTGCGACGTGCACAACGCATCAAAGCTGCCTAAAGAACAGGGCTGCAGCAGTGCCGTTAATATAAGCCGGGCCAGGCTCGTAGTGTCGCATGTAAGGCACACCTGCCGGATAATCAACAACACTCGCAGAATGCATTTCTCTCCCTGCAAGCCAACAACAACCAGCGCAACAAACCGGACTATCGCCAAACGCATCCAACAACTGCGCGCGCCGTCCTCGTGCCGCCAAGCATCCACCCGACTAACTGGTTACGCCCTTGTAACCAATCGGCTCAGCTCCTCGAAACAGCCGCCCTTAGCCGTTCGACGAGCATCGAGATCTGGCTCCCAAGGGAATCTCTCGTGCACTCCACCACCTCGCATCGCCACCCAGCCGACCCTCCGCCTCCGCTCTCCCCGGACCCGGACACGGCGGTGCTCGCAGGCGGTACCACGTACACTTGCAACCGAGCGACTGCACCATCCGTGTCGATCTTTATTTCCGCCGACAACGGCTTGTCGGGCGAAGCCTGCTTCCCGGCCGCGGCCGGCGGCGGTGCCGGCTTCTTCTTGTGCTTCGAAGTCACGGTTACCGCCCCCTTCCCGAAAGTGTCTTGCATCGCATGGCGTATTAGCAGCAGCGCTGCCGCGAGCATCGACGACCAGTCGCTGCCCTCCTGGTCTTCTCCGGCAGCACCATCGCCGCGGCGAGGTGCCGCCGCGGTAGGTTTTGCCGTATGAACCGAAGCAGAGGCTCTGGCTTCGTCTCCCGCCCGGCCAGCAACACTGCCTGACGGTGATTTGGTCCTCTCTCGATCCCCTGCCGCCGCTCCCTCCCCCGCCGCCGACGAACTTTCCGTCTTGACTGCTCTGGCACCAGCGACACCAGTCCCTCTCCCTCCCAACGCTGGTGGGCCTCCTTCCTCTCCCACCTCAGTCTTCACCTTCGAGGACAACGTCGCAGCAACACCTCCTTCATCTACACCCATGCCTCCTGTAGCCTTGACACGCGCACCTTCTTCCCTGTCTCGAGCACAATCCCCGTGTTTGTGGTGGTGGTGGTGGTGGTGGTGGAGGTGGTGGTGGTGCCCGCCCGTTGTGAGCGAAATTCCGGCCGGGCTGGTTTTGCAGTCAGGTTCGGCGGCAACGTCAACGGCAGAGGCGGGCCGGGCGCAGCACGCCATGCTCAGAGATAAAAGTGAGACTATTTTTCTATTTTTGCATGCTGCTAGATAGGCATCGCATCACACACGAGAGAAAACTATGCCACCTCGAGAAACAAGGTGAGGTGGCGGGAAAAATGAGGTGAGCGCAAAAAACAAAATGAGAACATTAAAAAACACCGGGTGGAAACGAACGTACCTGGTTTGCGCCTGGGTCGCGAGCGCCACCATCGAGTCCGCGAGCATGTCGTTGACGGGGCTGGCATCCCACTCCAGAAGAAGCTTGGTCCTGGCAGGCGGCCATTTGACGTTGAGATCGAGGGTGCATAGCAAAATGCATAGCAAAATGCGGGGGCATTTTTTAGTGGCCTACCCATGCAGACTGCACGAGGGATGTGGTAGAAGTAGGGGGCAATGTTCGAAGACATGTCGGCCGGAGAGTGTCGCTCGATCAACATTACATTGCGATTCTTTGTGGCCTGGGCACACCAGATATGTAGGCGCGCCGCATGAAGTGACAAATCAAAACAACGGAACGCTCAGGAGGACTGAGTTTCGAAGCGTCTCGGCGTGCGTCCTTCCCACACAAAACCACGTCTGCATACACTTGTCGCGAGCATGCATGTGTCAAGCGCCCTCCGTTCACGTATGTATGTACACCCAAACTCCCGCGCGCACAAACAAAACAAAAATACCGACTCGCGAGGGCGGAGGAGGTGTTGTACCTGTCCTTAGCGCTGGGAGGCGGCAGAGTCGCTGCCACAGCCCCGTGAACGACGAGCCTGGTGCCGAAGGTCCCCTCCTCCTGCTTGATGCTGTCGTCGGCGAACACCTCCCTCACGAAAGCTCGGAGGGCCTCGGCGGAGGAGAAGTACGGCACCGATAGCCGCTGCCGGATTCCGCCAACCTTGAGCTGCACAGACAAGACACACCACGTGGTGTTTGCATGTCCGAAGGGGGGGGAAGAAACGGCCGGGATGATGGTACTGTATGTATTTATGCAAAAGTACACATGCATGGTGTTGCATGTCCCCAGGGGGGAAGAAACGGCTGGGATGATGGTACTGTATGTATTTATGTAAAGTACGTAGCGGTCACGTTGGACCACAAGGTATGGCCAGAGAGACGGAGAGGCGGCGTTGGCATGGGCAGAAAGGGAGGAGGGGCGGGCAGGCAATGAAACGAGAGGTCTAGGCCTATCGTCGGGCCTCAAGCTCTCCACGACCGCTGTTCTCCGGATGTCCGGCCGCATTTCAACTTCCACGAAAAACCTTAACAAAAGAAAGGAAGCTGCTGCTGCTGCTGCTGCAGCCCACCCACCCCCTCCCTCTCTCACTTACCAGTGTGTACTCGTCCAGCTCGTCCGCAGACATTAGCCTCTTGGTGAAGCGCTCGTTCACCAGCAGCCCCTGCACGTCAAACGCCTCGCCTCGCCGTCGCGCGGCCGCCGCCCGCCTGCTGACACCCTTGCTACCCTTCCCGCGGCCGCCCAGGTCGCGAGCGAGAGAGCCGACCGCCTTGGCCACAGTCTCCCGGTGAAACTCGATCTTAACCTGCCAACGTTTGTTTGATTCAGTTTTTAGTTCCGGGTGGGCAGGGATGCGGGAAGACGTGTTGTGCGTGCTTTGGGATTCTATCTTGGTGGGTCGGAATGTTGCGGCGAGATTCGATCTTCGGGTAACGGGAGTATACACACCTCGGCGCAGTTCTTGGGGTTGAAGACAAGGGGTCGCTCGTCCTGGGGCACCATGGCGAACTGCTTCTCGAGCTCGGTCTTGAGCCTCAGCATGCCCGTCTCTTCCCCGTGCACCAGGATAACGTTGGCCGGCTAGGGGCGTGAAGCCAAGAGAGGAAAGCAAACAAAAAAATAAAGGCACAACAAAAGTCACGGCCTCTCGCGTCAAGGAAATATTAGACGAACATGTGCGCCCGAACGAGACGCGAGAGGCAGAATCGCGACCAATCCGGCAATAGTTTCAGTAGGCGACAGAGTGAGCGCTGAAGGACTTAAAATCATGGGAAGCTTAACCATGGAAAGAGGATCGATCATGGCATAAACAATGTGGCACCATTTCGTTAACGCCTATTCCATCGCGTACATGTACATACGGCGTACAGCCCATTCCTAGTGAAACTACCAAAGGGAGAGGTAAGGCGTGGCGCAATGTGTGACAGCCCGGGGTTTTCGCTTTTCTTCCGTCGCGTTTTGCTATATCACGTGGACGCCGCCGTCGCCGCACCTGCACCCCTTCGATGAAGCCCTTGTTCTGGACGAAGTCCACGTGTGCGGAAAACGAGATGTACTCCACCTCGCACCTCCGCTGCCGCACCTTTGGGTGCACCGAAGGCAACGGGGGGTGAGGAGAGAGGGGAATTCAGTCAT